CGAGAGGACCGACCCTTGTGGCACCCCACAAACAAGGTGCCTCGGGGTCGACCGCTGCCCCCCTGTCAACACGGATTGCGACCGGTCCAAGAGGTAGGAGGAGAACCACCACAGGACGGTGCCCCCCACCCCCAGCCCCTTCAACCGGTGCAACATGATACCATGGTCGATGGTATCAAAAGCCGCTGAGAGGTCTAACAGGACCAGGATAGAGGAACAACCCCTATCCCGAGCCCTCCAGAGATCATCCACCAACGCGACCAATGCCGTTTCCATGCTGTGCCCAGGCCGGAAACCAGACTGGAGCGGGTCCAGATAGACAGCTTCATCCAGGTACCGGGGAAGCTGCCGCACTACCACACTCTCAACAACCTTCACAACGAAGCGAAGGTTGGAGACTGGACGATAGTTAGCCAAAATAGCCGGATCCAGGGAGGGCTTCTTGAGGAGGGGCCTCACCACCGCTTCTTTCAAAGCGGTCGGCAGGACCCCCTCACTCAGAGAAGCGTTAACAATCCCCTGGAGCCAGCCTCGTGTAACCTCCCGGGAAGCCAGTACCAACCAGGAGGGACACGGGTCCAATAAACATGTGGTCGCGTTCAGCCATCCCAGGATCCTGTCCACGTCCTCGGGAGCAACAGGATCAAACTCCTCCCAGATAACACTCTCAAGACCTGCCTCAGTCATCCCGTCTGGATTTACCCAGTCAGAGGCCAGGCCTTCCCGAATCTGAGCGATCTTGTCATACAGATACTGCACAAAGTCCTCAGCTCGACCCTGCAAGGGATCATCCCGCGCTTCCAGATGGAGGAGGGAGCGGGTCACCCTAAACAGGGCGGCTGGGCGATTATCTGATGACGCGATAAGAGCGGCAAAATAGCTAGATTTCGCTGCTTTTATCGCCACTAGGTAGGTCTTAATATGAGACCTCACCAGTGTTCGGTCAGATTCGGAGCGGCTGGTCCTCCAACTACTCTCTAGGCGTCTTTTCCGGCGCTTCATCTCCCTCAGCTCCTCAGAGAACCAAGGAGCTAGGTGAGTTCGGTGCCGGGTCAGAGGCCGCAAAGGCACAACACGGTCCAAAGCCCCGGCGGCCGCACTATCCCAGGCGGCCACCAGGTCTTCAGCCGAGTCATGAGCCAGAGTCTCAGGAAATGGCCCAAGCTCCATCTGGAACCTATCAGGATCCATCAGGCGCCTGGGGCAGAACCACCTGGTCGGTCCCGCCTCCCTGCAGCGAGGTGCAGCGGTTAGAAAGTCCAGTCGAAGGAGCGAGTGGTCAGACCATGACAAGGGTTCGATGACTATATCCCCTATATCACGGCCACTCAACCACTGACCAGAGACAAAAATCAAGTCCAGAGTGTGTCCACCTATGTGAGTAGGGTCATGAATTAACTGAGTAAGGTCCATGGCCATCATGGAAGCCATGAACTCTCGAGCTACCTCAGATGTTTCACCGATAGATCTTAATCTTGTGTTTTGGTGGCCTTTGATCTGGGTTGCCATTCTTAAGAAATTGACTGGCTATTTGGTCTGCAGTCACATTGGCATAATTTTTAGAGTGAGTTGTCAAGTGCTCAACAATCTCCAAGCTTTATGGCTATTTATGCGTATGTCCAATTCTTCTATTGTTCTAATCCAGCTTTCTCTCTTAGCTTCAACTATAGAAATAATTAACTGCTGGCCTGCATTCACTGTATCCTGTACTATAGGATCAACCTCAAAAAGAGTGAGATACCTCTGCAGTTTATCCTTTGTTTCTGCTGTAAAGCCTTGGATATAGTTGGTTTTACAGCCCCATGGAATTGGTAGCTGGGAACATTTTTATGACCACCACAAATCTGTCATAATATCTTAGTTTAGCTATTAATTGAGTAACAGCACTGTTCAATAATCTCTGAAATGTAGGTCAGTCAGCTTTTTTAAAGTTATACCTATAGCTAAAGGGGATACTGTGAGGTCAAACTACAGTGGTAACCTGGCACATAATTGGCCAATGCTGAGAATTTGGAAAAGGTGGGAAAACTACTTTAATACATTGTTGGATTATATGAATGTTCACAAATATTAAATCTGGGTTATATCCCCTGCATCACCTTCCACTGTTGAATGAAGCTCATAATTTGTTGTCATGTAAAAGAGCCAGATTAGAAGAATGGGTGGACCTTCAGAATGAGAGGCTACTGGATTTAGAAGGTCAATTTGGATGGCACTGTTAACTATGGTAGGATAAAGTTAATACTGATTTCAACAACCATTTTGTCAGACGTGCCAGAGTTTGGAATAAATATAAAACAAGGTTTTCCACGAAGGTGCCTCTTTGGGTTTCCCCACAGGAAGCTTTTTAAAGAAAAGAAATGGTGACGAGGCTGAACTGGTGGACTTATGGTCAAATATCATCTTTCAACTTGGGTGACCCTACCCTCAAGTCTAAGGAGGAACTAGAATCAGGAAGTCATGTCTGCCATTGGTTTATTTACAGTTGAAAGAAATATTTAAATTAGATAAAAAGAATCACGGGTTTAACTTTGCCAAAAAATGAATTGGAAATCCTATTGTGTGGTAGTAATGAATATATTATTGCTAAAGTTTATAAAATGTTATTGAATGTAAATTTGGAAAATGAACAAGTTTGGGTATAATGTAATGCTTGAACAATGAGAGAATACGTGGAAGAAAGGCTTAAAATTTACATTAAACTATAACTTAAAAGAATATTTCTATAAGATGATGTATTTAACTCCAGACAAGTTGTCAAGAATGTATAAAGTCATTTCAAATGAATGTTGGAAATGTAAATGTAATGAAGGGACTTTTTACCATTTATGGTGGATGTGTGATAAAGCAAAAAAATATTGGAGTAGGATTCATAACTTAACACAGAAAATTCTTAAAGTGAATATAAAGAGAAAACCAGAGACTTTTCTTTTGGGTTTAATGGAAAAAGACTTGGGAAAAAAAATTGGAACGTCGATGTTCTATATGTTGACGGCAGCAAGACTACTCTATGCACAGAAATGGAAGGTCACCTCAATCCCAACAATGGACGAATGGCTGCAAAAATTGATGCAGTTAGCAGAGATGGCTAAATTGACTGCTTTGATCAAAGAAAAAAACACAAATACTTTTGTTTCTACTTGGAAACCGTTTCTGGACTTTGTGCTTGAGGTGGAAATAAATGAAACACTGTTTTTGGGTTTTACCGATTATATAGATTTATTGCTGTAGAAACGGCTAATTAATACGACTGTGTAAAAATAAAAAGTTGAGGTTTTGATGTTAATGCCTTATTCTACTACACCAAAGGGGGGAAGTCAATGTCTTTTTTTTCTTTTTCCCCTTTTCTTTCCCTCACTCTTCTCTTCCCTTTCCCCTTCCCTATTTTTCCTATTATTTACTTTTGTATTTTCTTTGTATGCTATATTATAAACTAATAAAAAACTTTTTTTTTGAAGAAAAAGAGCCAGGTTATTCAAATCTGTAAAAAAAAAAAAAAAGAGCAGGAAATCCAAAAGCGTGCATTTGGTGTGGATTGCGCATACGTGCGCAATGTGCATCTGATGTGCACTGCGCATGTGCAGCATGCATCCAGCATTTATTCTTATTAAATATATTAAATTTATCATCCTTGATCTCAGTTAGTGGCTATTTATACACTGAGATTGCTCAGCTCTATAGATATTACTTTTATGTTATTTATTTCTGATGTTTTGGACCAAACCTGGATACCAGGCTTCACAAAGACTGTGCTGCTGTACTGTTGGTGGGACCGCTCTGCTACAAGCTACATGCTCTGTATTTTAGGTCTTTTCTGATTACTGTCTCTGTGCGTCTCCTGTATACACAGGACAACACAGCTATATTTTTGGCACAAGACCCGCAACAATTCTTCCTTACATTCAGATAGACTCTCAATAATTACTGAAATAAATAGTCCTCTATGGACCTGAAAAGATCCTTTGTGGGACACACGTATTATCACAGATGGGAATGAGTACCCCACTATGCTCATGAAAGGAGCCTCTCTGAAGAACGAGGCTCCCTGAAGAATGTGTGCTGTTAACACATTTGGATGTCCCCTGGGCAACAGTTTACAGCTGGCTAATCCTTTCAATCCAGAAGCATCCAAAGCATAGTGAGGTGCTCATTCCCATTGTAACACTTTCAAGAGTTCATAAGCATTTGAGGGATACTTATACAAATATTCATGAGAATTATAGTATATTCCACTTTTCCTTTAGAAGGTCTAATTGGTATATATAGTACCTCTTCCTCCAATTTCTTTTTTTTACCACCAGAATCCTATAATACAGATTGAGCTGATGGAGTGTGACTTTTGTTCTGTACAGTACAGTAAGTACAAAAGTACAGTAACTTTTAGGGTCTAGTCCAGCATTTCATCGCTAAACCACACTGACTTCACCAGGTCAATTTGAATGTGATCTGTTCACAAAGACTAGAACTTTCAATTTATGATAAGAAGAAGCTTCATTTTGCAATAAATATTAAGCATGTATAAATTCTTCTCAAACCAATTATGGTAATTGAAAGTACTATTAGATAATCTGTATTTAGGAGTAAATAAGAGATTTTTGGTTATGTTTAGAAGATAGAAATGTGGATCATTGGAAGGTTTCAATTATAGAACTAAAGTAAAAGTTCAACTGCAGCAGGGACAATGTGTATTCCTGCTTTATACCATTCATTTGGTGCGGAAATGTAATCTATGGGGTTATTATCATATAATCCCTATCTACATGAATTCCTTTGTACAAAACCTTTCTCAGAGTCTGAATGTTATTTGAAAATTAACAGACATGCATAATACCTTTAGATCTGGCTTGATTTGTCAATAAGATGACCTTCTCCAGGCAATGGCCAGTAAATGCATCATTGGCTCAAACTGTTCATGTATTAGTTATGTATACTGTTGCTCAAGCCTTTAAATGTTCAACATAGACAAGTGACACAGTTAATAAACAGAATATGACACTAACCTCACTCTGTCAGTGTTGTATATGAGTGATTCATTTTCCTTCTTCCAGAAAATCTGAGGTGGAGGCACACCCGAAACCCGGCATTCCAGTCGCACAGGAAACCTCTCAGCCACTCCTGTATTTTGTAGTTTCTCTATAAATACAGGTGGCTTGTGTGCTTCCTTAGCTGAAAAGACAGAGATCCCCCCCCCCTTATATCAGTATATATTTTGTAGTGTGTTCTCTTAACATTTCTTAGCACTAGGGGGTACCTGACAGAGAGAAGTATTTGGAAAATGAAAATGTCACTTTATTTGCTGCTACCTAATCAACTGAGGAGGATGCAATGTTCCCACTTGCATTAGGGAAAAAAATGAAGGCCCGTGGTGGTCTAGCCAAATGGCTATGATGAAATGTAATATTTTGCCAGAATTGCTATGATTCTCCTATAATGAAGCACATCATCCAAATATTTCAGCTTAGTTCTGTTTTCCCATTGGAAGTGATTAAACAAAAGCTGATGTAGAAGTCAGAACTTTTAATTATATCCGCAGACAGACGCAATTTCTCACTTCCCGCTCAACTTCACACTTTGCTTTCTGATTCTTTCGGGGGAGGCAATAAGATCTCTCAGTGTGGATATAACAGACTGCTATAGCTTCCTTGTTGATTTCTGGAAAAAAATGGCACTTCTACTAATAAGAAAGCAAGCAGAGGTTCATTCAGTTTGCACTGATCATGGAACAAGGAGCTAGACTTCTTAGCAATTTGAGCTTTCTGTTATGCCTGAATATGGCCAGGATTTCATCAAAAAAAACAAAGCAGAGATTCTTTTCTCTTATCAAAATTTATTTATGAATACTTTCTAATAGAAACTGACAGAGAAGCAAACAGGTCAAGAAAAGTTTTTCATACCTTCTGCAGGATATAGAGCTATTGATGTATTTCTTTCACATTAAGGCCTTTTAAAATATTCTAATTTTGGAGCTAGTTTTATATGAATGGCTGCCACATAATAAATATTCTAACCACTGCTGACAATGGACAATGGCTGGCTTCAAGGCTCTTTTATCTATAAAAGTGAGATCAACTATCTCCAAGTGCCAGCTTGATGGGCATGACTCAGATGCTTCCTGTTGGTTCATTTACATAATCACATAGCATTATGGATGCTACTCACATAAAAGCTAGTTTTAAAGATCCCCATAAATAAATGCATTTGCATTTCAGACAAGTCATTTGCTGCTTACAACTGGAATAATACAGTAATGAATCCAAATCATCAGCTACAACACAATCCACCCAGATCTCCTAAACATCTGTTATGTAGTTCCAAAACAGTGATGGCAGCATAGATTATATTCATCCCTTTTGGTGATCTACATTCATTCAGTTATTAAGAGTGAGGCTAATTTTCTTGCTTCTTGCTTCCTGTATGACATTGCTTTATAAAAAGAGGTCTTAGCTGGCAGCTCCAATGTGCCAGACTACAATTCATTCATAAACTGTCACCACATCCCAATATACATCTTAGGCACCTTCAAGATAGTCATCTACCATTTTCTGTAATATGGGTTTTTAATACTAGCCTGTTACAGGACTGTTACAAAGTATAAAGAGAATGGATAGCATAATAATAGGCTTAAAAATAACCAGGAAACTTTTGTCAAATGGCAAAATGTGTGCTAAAAAGAATTATAGAGAAAGGAGCCACAGTTGATCTTTATGTTCAGGCACTCAAATCCATTTTTTCAAATTATGCAAATGTCCTACCTGTCACAATCAGTTCCAGGCTGAAAGTGTTCTGGCCAGCTCGATTAGTGGCAATACATGTATAGATGCCAGCATCCCTTGCTGTGACTGGCTCTATGATTAAGGAGTGTATACCATTTTCCCGTACAAGCATTTTGTGGGAATTATCAGAACGTATTACTCTTCCATTAAGTTGCCAGTTGATGTCGGGAGTTGGCAAGCCACTGACCTTAAATAAAATACACCACAGTCCTCAGGAAAGCAAAAGTATACAAAGACTGTAGAAAAGCTGTGACAATTTGTTTCAGTGCACCGTATTCTGTTATCCCAGAGGACCAATGGATAAAAATTCATCAACTCTTTCTGCATATATGAGCAAACTTTTTAGTATTCATAGATTTCATTGAGGCAAGCAGTTCTATTTGAATGGAAATTAAATTAATTGTTAATTTCTATTAACAAAATTAAATACCACAATTCACAGAATGAAAAGATTTTATGCCTTGTGATATTTTTTACATTTAATAATATCTTGATTGTTACCTTCAAAGAGGAATGTGTTGAAAAGGTTTCATTGAACAAAATTTCTTTTCAACTGTACACTATTCAGGAAATTAAACTCCATATTCAGGATCCTATCAATCAAATTTCAGCTTGTTGAATGATAAATATAAATAAATAACAATTCCTGCTAAAGTTGCTTTAGCAGCCATGTTATGAGAAAGATTTTCAAAGCACTCCAATAACATTCTGACTTACCTAAATACAATTGAAATTCACTAGTATTTAACTTTGAAGATTTAAAAAAGTTTTTAAAAGGAATATACAGGGCAAAACAATTTTGTTTAATATTTACAAATGTTAATGTACAGATACAGTATATTCTATTATATAGATCACTTTCCTACCAGACAACTTCCTCATATAGACCTTGGGTGGGATAATAATATGACATGTTACTCCAACAATGATTTTTAGGATAATGTAAATACATAATGTTTACTTAAGTATAACTCAATCCCTTAATATCTAAAATCATTCTCATGTATTTGTAAAAATATAAATATAATACACATATAAAATTCAGTCAATATACAAGTAGTCCTTGTCCTACGACCATTCATTTAGCAATTGTTTAAAGTTACAACAGTATTGGAAAAAGTGACTTATCACTAGTCCTCACACTTACAACCATTGCAGCAGTCTCATGGTTATGTGACCAAAATTTGTGTGCTTGGTAACCAGCATGTATTTAGATTGGACACAGAATCCTGGAGCCACATGGTTGCCATTTGCAACCATCCTAGATGGCTTCTGGAAGAAGCCAATGGAAGAAGCCAATGGGCTCGGGATAGGGGTTACTCCTCTATCCTGGTCCTGTTAGACCTCTCAGCGGCTTTTGATACCATCGACCATGGTATCATGTTACGCCGGCTGGAGGGACTGGGAGTGGGGGGCACCATTTTGCGGTGGTTCTCCTCCTATCTCTCCGACCGGTCGCAATCCGTGTTGACAGGGGGGCAGCGGTCGACCCCGAGGCGCCTTGTTTGTGGGGTGCCACAAGGGTCGGTCCTCTCGCCCCTCCTGTTCAACATTTATGTGAAGCCACTGGGTGAGATCATCCGTGGTTTTGGGGTGGAGTTCCATCAGTACGCTGATGATACTCAGCTGTACATCTCCACCCCAGACCATCCCAACGATGCCTTGGAAGTGATGTCCCAGTGCCTGGAGGCCGTGCGGGTCTGGATGGGGAGAAACAGGCTTCGACTCAACCCTTCCAAGACCGAGTGGCTGTGGCTGCCGGCGTCCCGGTATAGCCAGCTGACGCCATCGCTGGTTATTGGGGGCGAATCACTGGCCCCCACGGAAAGGGCCCGCAACTTGGGCGTCCTCCTGGATGCACGGCTGTCTTTAGAAGGGCATATGACGGTCGTGGCCAGGGGGGCTTTTTATCAGGTTCGCCTGATACGCCAGTTGCGTCCCTTTCTGGATCGGGACTCCCTATGCACAGTCACTCAAGCACTCGTCACCTCTCGTCTGGACTATTGTAACGCTCTCTACATGGGGCTCCCCTTGGGGTATACCCGGAGGCTCCAACTGGTGCAGAATGCGGCTGCGCGGGGGATTATGGGAGCGACGGGGCGCTCCCATGTGACTCCTCTCCTGCGCGAGCTGCATTGGCTTCCGGTGTACTTCCGGCTGCGCTTCAAGGTGTTGGTGATCACCTTTAAAGTGCTCCATGGCTTAGGGCCAGGGTACTTACGGGACCGCCTTCTGCCACCAATAGCCTCCCACCGGCCACTTCGCTCCCACAGAGAGGGCCTCCTCAGGGTGCCGTCGGCTAGACAATGCCGGCTGGCGACCCCCAGGAGGAGAGCCTTCTCTGTGGTGGCACCTACCCTTTGGAACAATCTAGCCCCCAGAGATACGAGTGATCTCCGACCTCCGGACTTTTCGTTGGGCCCAAAAAACTCATCTCTTTCAGTTAGCTGGTCTCTTTTGATTTTATGATTTTATGTTGATTTTAAATTTTGATGTGGATTTAAATTGATAAATTTTAAACTATGGGCCAAATTTAATTATTTTAAATCTATTTTTAATCGTACTTTATGTATAAATGTTTTATTTTGGCTGTTCACTGCCCTGAGTCCGAAAGGAGAAGGGCAGTATAGAAATTGGAATAATAAATAAATAATAAATAAATAAATAAGAAGCCAGAGTCACTTAATGACTATGTAATTCACTGAACAACTGCAGTGATTTGCTTAACAGCAAATGTGGCAACAAGGTAATAAAATCAGGCACAACTCCCTTAATAAACACCTTTCTTAGCAACAGAAATTCTGATCATAATTGTGGTCATAAATCAATGTACCTGTAACCTACCATACTTTTCGGAGTATAAGACGCATTCTCCCCCCACCCTCCCAAAAAAAGAGGGTGGAAATGTTGGTGCGTCTTATACACTGAATACAGCCATTATTGGCCTCCTGAAACCCTGCCCCATGCACCCCGTTTTTGCCAAAAACAGGCCCGTTTTTCGCAAAAACAGGATGCACAGAGGGTTTGGGAGGCCTGCAGAGAGCTCCTGGGGGCCGGGGAAGGCAAAAACTTATTTTTCTTGTTTACCTTTTCGAAATCTTGGTGCGTCTTAAACTCCAGTGTGTCTTATAGTCAGAAAAATACAGTATATGGTCAATATTAAAAATAAAAATTTAAATGTACCTTGCAATCCATTCTACAAAGTTTTCCTTCTTGAACTATCAGATCTCCTGGAGCCTGCAGGAAATGTGGTCGGAAGAAGCGTTCCTGGATTGGTTCATTTTCATCTCCACTATCCCTTGATCGAGACCGTGGTCTATAGATAATATGTAAGTCACCCCATAAATATAGTATATTTCCAAATTTATTCACATTGATATAGCTCAAACAGATATTATTGCAGATTGTTAACTCTTTCAATGAAAATTATTCATGGTTACTGCTACTTATCTCCAAGTCTTCTCCATTTGTCCTTCTCAAATAATCACCTCTGCATTTCATTCCCATCTCATTATAAACAGGGATGCAAAGAAAACACAAATTGCTTTCTAGGTTCAAGCATATGATGAAAAAGATTTTCTTTTTTCCACTCCAGTTTAATTTACTTCATCGACAGACAAGCAGAACTATAATACTTTACCTAATGAATTGCAATCTGCCAAGAGCTGTTTCATAATTTACACATCAACTATCAGTATATTCCTTGTTGAGATTTTTCAACTTTTTTGGGTCTGTACAATAAGCATCTGTCACATCAATAACAGAATAACAAAATGCATTACAGTAGTCCAGGAGACAGACCAAAAAATGAAATTGTTAACTAAAAAGTCCTAAATAATTGTTTTGCTTATTATTTTTATTGAAGGGTACAATTAAAAGCTTAATTATTAAAAGTAACAATCTCATATAAATACGAAAAATATCATAAGAACTAAAACATTATTTAGCTCAGTTCAGATTCAACAAATTTTCAGTTATGTAATGCAATATTTGTCACTTAATTTTTTTGCAATCTAAAATTTGTATGTTTCATCTCTGAAAATGGGTTCAGTTTGAAAAGTCAACTTTTAAAGCAGGGGTGAAATGCTCCCAGTTTGGACCGGATCGCCTGATCCGGTAGCGATGGCAGCGGGTGGTTTGGAGAACCGGTAGCAAAAATCCCTGCGCCCCCCACCACCATGCCCAGCTGAGCCGCACGATCATCAGAGACTTTTTTTAAAAAAACTTTTAAAAGCATTTTTTCTGCAACTTCTTCTGCTGAAAAAATGCTTTTAAAAGTAAAAAAAAAGCCTCTGATGATCGTGCGGCTCAGCTGGGATCGTCAGAGGCTTTTCAAAGCATTTTTTTCTGCAACCTCTTCCGCCAAAGAGATGGTTAAAAAAATGCTTTGAAAAGCCTCTATGGATCAGGCAACACAGCTGGGATCGTCAGAGCCTTTTCAAAGCATTTTTAACCACCTTTTCTGCTGAAGAGGTTGCAGAAAAAAATGCTTTAAAAGTCTCTCTGACGATCCCAGCTGAGTTGCCTGATCATCTGCATTTGCCAGAAAAAATGCTTTGAAAAGTTAAAAAAAAAAGTTGGCCAGTCACATTACCCCCTCCAACCAAGCCATGCCAACAGAACCGGTAGTAACAAATTTTACATTTCACCCCTGTTTTAAAGCATCAGATAAATACAGAGGAGAGATCCAGTCAGTAATATCAATAAATAAAGTAATAATGATAAAAAATAAAAAAATATTTATACAGGTAGTCCTTAACATAAAACAGTTCATTTAGTGACTGTTCAAAGTTTCAATGACACTGAAAAAAGTGACTTATGACCATTTTTCACACTTACAACCATAGCACCATCCCCATGGTCACATGATCAAAATTCAGATGCTTGGCAACTGACTCCTATTCTAGGACACTTGAAATGTCCTGGGGTCATGTGATCACATTTTGTGACCTTCTGACAAGCAAAGTCAATGGGTAAGCCAGATTCACTTAACAACCGTGTTACTAACTTAACAACTGCAGTGATTTACTTAACAAATTTGGTAAGGAAGGAAGATCGTAAAGTGGGGCAAAACGCACTTAACAAATGTCTTACTTAGCAACAGAAATTTTGGGCTCAGTTGTGGTCGTAAGTCAAGGACTACCTTTATTAGAGCCATAAATTTTTCCTAAGTTCATAATTAATAATACCTTCTGATATGAGGCTGGCTAGGTGGTGTCCTGGGGCTGCGTCCTCTCTGATTGACAGCTTGGACCATCAATCGTCCTGTACAGCTTATTCTCCCCTAGCATTTGAAATTAAAAAAGAGAAAAATAATATAGATGAAAAACAGTTTTACTGAATAGCCTTCTTTTAACAATTAAGTCTTCTAACTGTCCTTTAAATTGTTAATTACATACTTCTACAAAGTGTTTTGTTTTTAAAGATTAAATATATATATATATTTTGGAGTTATTTCCATTGTAGGGTAATTACATATTTCACATGAACTATTGCAAGCCCAACAAGGAATGAGGTGGTCAGTGAATACTCAGAAACTTAGAAATATGATTTGACTGGAAGCGTTGCGGCGAGACAGTCGGGGAATAGCGGGCTCTGATGAGCCTTGTGAAATCCCGGGCTGACAAACCGCTGTCGAGGGGTCTTCGGACCAGATCTGTCCTGTAGGGATGGAGAAGAAGGAGAAGCACCTTGGACAACCAAGAGGAACAGGCAAGTTCCTTGGAGGTCGGACGAAACTCTTCAACTCGGCGGCGGTGACGGTGGCCATTGCAGCTGTCATAAAGCTGGGGCAACCGGACCAAGTCCTGAGCAGGAGCGATGATTTGGACGGAGTACTGATGCCGGGTGAGTGATTGCCAGCTCACAGGTTAAAAAGAAATATTTTGAAATTGTTAAAAGGTGTCCCTGTGAAGAAACAGCAGCTAATGGGCGTGGGGGAATTTGAATGAAGGAAGAAGAACAAAGCAGAAGTTTAAAGTGTCAAAGCCTGAAACGAAACTTTTGGACTAGAATGGGTGGAGATAATTAAAATATTAGAAGAAAAAACCCATAATAGATGTGAAGAGGATTGGAAAGAACTTTTAAAAAAATTTTGACCATTGAAGGAAAAATAAAGGAAAACTCAAAATGTTAAAAGGAGGTTCTGCACAAGTGCTTTTTAATTTTATTTCTGCAGGAGCAAAGTGGCTGCCAGTCAGAATCAATTTACTTCACCTGGAAATGCTAATCAAGAGAGGCATCTACAGGTGGAAAAAAACATTACAACACTTAACTTGTATTTTGGAAAAAAACATTTTAAAATGATAAGAGCGGTGGGAACTTCTGAGGAGGATTTGTTTGCTTGCAAACTGTTTGACCTCGATAACGAAAGAAGGTGAAGTATAATAAAACTTAAAATTGGAATAACAACAACTCAGAAATAACAAGATGGTGCAGGAACTAATTGAAATAATTAAAAGGATGCATATACCACTGAAAGTGGAATTAAATGAAATGTTTACAATGATGCATGGAAAACCTAAACCTGATAAACTAGAAATTGCGTTAGAACATACCCAAGTGGAGAAAGAAACTATGAATGAGAAGCAAGAAAGTGACACTGAAGAGAAAGACAAAGACATTGACTATGAAAAATCAAATGATTATGTGGGGTTAACAATGACAAAAATAGAGAAGGTGGAAAGAGACAAGGAGAGAAAGAAGGGGAGAAGAGAAAAAATATAAAAAATTCAAACGATTACACTGAGATTAACAGTGGGAAAATAAGAAAGATGAAAAGGGGAAGGAGGAGACCAGTTGGAAATACAGGGCAAATTAGGAGAGTAAAGGACTTTAAAATTGGGGTGGGGAGGGAAAAAGAAAAAAATAAGAAAATGGGATGAAGGGAGAAAGGAGTAGCTGTTGGAAAGGAAAAAGGAAAATATGTTTTAGATATTTAGAATTATAAATGAATTTTAGTAAGTTCAATATAGGAGATTGTAATACTTGGAATGCTTTTAAATGAACTGCAGTAAATTCAATACAAGAGATTGTAATACGTGGAATGTCTTTAATTGTAATTATGGAATTCAGCTAAAGCATTTGAAATTATATTGTATTGTGAAAATTAAGTTTGTTTAATGTTTAATAAGAAGAGATTAAGTTACTGTTGGCAATAATTGAAATTAACTTTTAAGAGGAGGAAATATTACTAATTATGATTATGGTTTACTATGAAGAAATGTAGATAATATATATACTTGAAAAAGAAATGGAAAATTGGGTTTACTTTAAAAAACAATGGTAATTAAGAAATAGAAACGAATGATTTTAATGTTATATATTTAAGTGAATTGTAGTAAGATATTTGATTGTAGTATTTGGATTAATTGATAAAGTCTTTAATGGAAAAGAGGGAAGGAAATGGGTTATATATGTAAAATTGTATGAATATTAATATCTGTGATTAGAATAATGGAATTTAGGGAAAACACTTGAAATGGTATTATGTGGTGAAAAGGGAGAAATGGGAAATATTTGAACAGGATGATTTAGAGTTAGGGTTAGGTATTAGAAAAATGATTGATTTTAAATTAAAGGGTTTGAACTTGGAGAAAGCAACGAGAGGAGGAGAAAAAAGAAAATTTGACTAAGATTAGGGATTAGGGCAAATGGTAATATTGGTTATATATCAGAAGGAACAAGGAAAAGAAAATAAAAATTACAGAGAAAGAGTATTATGCCAGGTTTTCCTACGTAACCAAGGTTTTTCTGCAGCCCTAGCTCAGTAGAATCACATCCACTCGATTCTGGGCTTTTTTTCTTTCTGGCAGCCAGCAAGTTCTGGTGCCAGGTGAGAGACTTATATTGATCTATTTCTGGCTCATTAGCCATCATCAGTAAGCCACACCCACATCTCATGTATCCTCCCTGTAAAGGTACAGTATCTATTTTCTTACTTCTTCGTAGGATTTATGTGTGTTTTTCCTCTAGCCAGGTTTTCCTACGTAACCAAGGTTTTTCTGCAGCCCTAGCTCAGGAAAAACACATCCGGACATGCCACACAGGCCACGGGAAAGCCAAGAGTCAGTGGGCAGAAGCGGGTGAGGGACCGCAGGCGTCTTGTCTTCACGTGGCGGCACTGGCAGATGGAAGGCAGATGCATGGGGGAAGGCAGGCAATTCTGATGTGTTGTGCAGGTCACAGGCAAGCTGAGAGATATGAAGATGACCCTCCAGCAGCCGCCCACCTACTCCATCCCAACGTCTCTTGGCTTTCCTGTGGCCCGCGCAACACATCCAGATTGCCTGCCTCCCCTCCCCTGCCTCTGCCTCTCTGCCTGCTGCTGGTGCCACCATGCAAGATGAGCCTCCCACAGCCGGCCGCCCCAGCCCACCGACTCTCGGCTTTCCTACAACACATGTGGCACGTCCGAATCACATGCCTTCCCACCTCTGCCTCCACCTGTTTGGACAGGTAATCAACTCATCTATGCTATGAGGGCTGCTGCTCGACACCATTGGCCCCCATGCCCTTGTTGCCTCCGGTGCTGGCCATGCCCATGCCCACCCACCCGGCTGATGACAACCTTAACTGGATCTTATTTTTGGGGTAGGGATTATATTAGGAGCATGCTAAAAAATCAGGCTAGGGCTTATTTTTTTGGTTAGGTCTTATTTTTGGGGAAACACAGCAGAACTATATCTAAAATTATACAACTAATTAAACTTATACTCTGTATATAATTATTTAGTATTTATTTGATTTTTATCCAGCCTTTATTACTTTATAAGTAACTCAAGGCAGCAAACATACATAATACTCCTTCCTCTTCCTTTTTCTTCACAACAACCACCTGTGAGGTGAGTTGGGCTGAGAGAGTGTAACTGGCCCAAGGTAACCCAGCTGTCTGTCATGGCTAATGCAGGATTAGAACTCAAATCGTTTCGTTTCTAGCCTGATGCCTTAACCACTAGACAAAACTGGATCTCCTGTTTCATAATTCATAATTATGAATTCATAATTGCTATTATGGAACCTACAAACACATAAATGCACACTGTAAGTTCCATAAATTATATATTTCTTATAATAAAATATACTAACAATACAGTTTTATAGTCAGAATATCTGGCTACAGAAACAGAACCCAGTCAGTCCCTGCTCAGTTGCTTGCCTTCAAAAATGCCAGCAACAGTTTAGGAAATTTTTTGTCTACACACCAGTCATTAAACCCTGAAGCACAACACAGACAAACAGATAATGGCTGTGAAGGCCTATACAGTATATTGTGCCTTTTCTGCTGGAGAACAGAGCAGAGCAGAGCAGAGCAGAGCAGAGCAGAGCAGAGCAGAGGAGAGGAAGGGCATAAGGACATGTGGTAGGCTTTACTATGGAAGAATATGAATAAAGTGAACTCTGCCATTAGAGATGGGGAGAAATATGGTTTTTCATCATAATATATAGTTCTACTCAGACATAATCAGAAGTAGAAGAGTTTGGAATAATCAGTGATTAGCTCAACCAGAAAAGCACATCAGACTGCAAATGCAGAATGTTTACCTAGTAACATCTATATAAGGACAGTTGCTTAAAGAAACAGTTTTGAATCATTCCCCAACGGCTCTGTATTCTCAGCTTGGCATCATGAGTATGATATGATTTGAGAAGGCTTAAATATTACTTACCCTAGAATGACATCATTTCTCAATTAAATCTTTAACTCAGACTGTGAATGTAAACAATCTGGGCCCAGGAGCATACTGATTCTATAGCTAAGATTTGATCTACCTGTGGATTGGTAGCCATGACAGTATAATTCCCATCATCATCAAGGGTGGAGGCAGTAGTACGGAGAGAGCAGGTCCCATCAGGTTCTCTTTGCATCCAATAATGCTCATTCCTTTTAGAAATTTGCTTTCCATCTTTGAACCAATAGATCTATATTCAGAGAAATCAAAACCAAAACAATGAAAGGAAAAATAGTTATAATCTGTGAATGAAGAATGAATCCAAGTGCTGATTTCTGAAAAAAATAAATAAATAAAAAGGATCTAGAAGAAATTCCTACCTTTCCTTCTGTTATTTGGAACAAATACTTGAAAAATAAACAGCTAGTTCACTTCATTGGCTTAATAGCGAGTAATGCATGTATTTGTGTTTGAAGCAAAATTCCAGATTGAGATGGTGTAAAATGGTGGAGAAATTAGTTCTCCTGTTGCTGTTGCATTACAATTTCCACTTTCTCTCATCTTTGCCCCCAAAGTACCGTATTTTTCAGAGTATAAGGCGTACCCTTTTCCCACAAAAAAGAGGGTGAAAATCTGGGTGCGTCTTATACTCCGAATGTAGCCCTGCCCAGCCTCGCAAACGGAGATTTCAGAGGCTGAAAGAAGCCTCTGAAAGAAGCTTCAGGAAAAAAGCCTCTAAAAGGCTTTTATCTAAAATAATATAGCAAGTAACAAAAGAATCAGTAAAGGTTCTAACCAAACTATGCTAACAAATCTGGAGAATGACACAATAACCAACATTTCAGAAGAGGTTAATCTATATACCAATACCAAAGAAAGGAGATTGAACAGAGTACAGATAGTCCTTCAGAATAAAAGCCTCTGAAAGAAGCTTCAGAAAAAAAAGCCTCCAAACAGAGCCTCCAAACAAAGCCTTTTTTTTTCTGAAGCTCTGTTTCGGAGGCTTTCAGAGGCATAAAAAAAAGCAAGGCACAGAGCTCACAACCAACAAACCTGTTGCTAAAATTCACCTCTGGGAACAGCTGATTGGGGGTATTCTGGGAGGCCGATCCACTCACCAATCAGCTCTTTTCTTATTTTCTTCCCCAAAAACTAAGGTGCGTTTTATACTCTGGTGAGTCTTATACTCCGAAAAATACAGTAAATAGTGATACTTTTCTATGTACATTTTTTCTCGTAACATTATACTGCTAGTCATGCCAGCAACATAATGTCCAATTAGGCTCCCTAGATTCAATCAGAAACCATACCAAACAAGTCAATAAATATTTAGGCTTGAACAATTAATGGAAGTTTTTTATTATCCTACTCTGCCATGGTTTCTCTACCAGATATTGCCACCCATGTTTTTTTAAAGAGTAATATATGTGTCGAATTTATTAATGCTGTTTATAATTACTGGAATTGGTTCATATTGATCATTGTTAAATGAAAAAAGCCAATTTCAATTATACAACAAAACAAAGGGCTTGAATTCTTTATCCTCCCCCCCCCCAATCAATAGTATTATATTTTTACTTGGACCAAGCAAAATAACACAAAATATGCAGAAACCTTTGAACTGTCTAGAACTTTCATTAGACAGGAAAATGTTGTCCCTTCCCCCACACTTATGCAAACCACAAAGTGTTCATTAGTTTTAATCTGAACTTCTGGTTTAATTTTTTTAGTCTGCATGTTTTTTCCTCCTTCCTGCATTCAGTAGAACTCATCTGATGAACGATTTTGGAGAACCCCCCAAACATGCATTCACTTGTGCATCATTTTCATTGGGTCTAATAAAAGTATTATCCAACTGTGAAAGTTAATTATTTTTTACTGCTTTCTAATGTGTACTAAGTTACTAAATCAATTCTACTAGTTCATCAAAAAGATTTGGCTTGGTATTTTGGGATGTGATACTGTATACAAAAATAGCAGCAGTACCATGTACACTTAGTCATTGACTTATAGCCACAACTGAGTCTAAAATTTCTGTTGCTAAGCGAGACAGGTGTTAAGTGAGTTTTGCTCCATTTTACGACCTTTCTTGCCATAGATTTTTAAGTGAACCACTGCAGTTAAGTTAGTAACATGGTTGTTACATGAATTTGGCTTCCTCATTGATTTTGCTTGTCAAAAGGTCGCAAATAGTGATCACATGACCCCGGGACATTGTAAGTGTCATAAGCATGAATTGATTGCTAAGCATTTGAATTTTGATCATGTGACCATGGGGTTGCTGTAAGGGTTGTAAGTGTGAAAAACGGTCATAAATCACTTTTTTCCAATGCCATTGAAACTTTGAACAGTCACTAAACATTATAAATTGAGGACTACCTGTATGTTCAGTACTGGGGTTGTTTATCATAAGTATTAGGAACCAAAAGAAAATTTCCTATTATTTCAGATATATGTGGCCCCCAGTTGTACAAACTGACCTGACCTGGTGATCCTCTACATCACAGTAAGAGAATATCATGTTTACCAGTCTGATCGCGAAACCTGCAGAGGTGGTGGAATAGCTATCTTCTACAAAGTCACTAAACCTAAAAAATATTCAAGTTGCATATGAACTCAATCTTCTGGAAACTACAAACTGTCAAACATCACACTTCACTTTTTACTATGTTACAGAGCCTCCGACTAGGACATCGCACATGCAAACAAGTTAACCACACTACTAACATGGGTAGCCTCTTGCCCATACCCTCTCATCTTTCTGGGTGACCTCAACCTACCTCTTATTAATTGGACAATAAATGAATGTACAACTGAACCCATCCATACAACCCTACATAATGCTGTTACCAATCTAAGTCTAGATCAACTAGTAACTAAGCAACACTAGATTCAACAAAGATGAGACTCGACCTCATCTTCTGCAACAGCTTAAACTCAATTTATGGACTACAAATAAAAGAACCCTTTTCCAACAGTGACCATATCATGATTGTCTTTTGTCTCAATATACACCCTTACAAAAATCCCATAATAATGGGATACCCAACTACAACTTCAAAAAGCCAACTATGATCTCATAGATACCGACCTCTCATCTCTTGATTGGCAAATTCTATTCTCTGACTGTAACACTGCCGAAGACCATTATAACATTTTCTTGCTCAAAGTCAATAGAGTTATTAAACTATATGTACCACTAATCACCACCAAAACCAGGAAAAACAAATTACCCATATCAATGAGAAAGCTCCAATAAAAACAAAAAATCCCTCTGGTAAAAAAAACAAAACTGGCTATGTAGCTAACTTTAAAAGCCGCTACAAAAATATATGCCACCAAATAAGGACCGAATGCACCAATTACCACATCAAACAAGAAGAAAACCTTCTGCGCACAAAATCCAACCGTGCCTTCTATAATTTTGTAAACAACAAACTTAAAGACTCAAGATCCATCCCACCCCTAAAAGGACCTAACGGTAAAGAATGCAATGATGAAGCAGTTAAAGCAAACCTCTTTAACACATTCTTCGGCTCAGTCTTTGTAAACAGCAATGGCTCATGCCCAACATTCCCTAGTCGTACCACTAATAACTACAAACATCTAACACAAATAGATTTCACAGAAGATAACATTGAAAAGGCACTATATAGACTAAAACCATCTCTATCTATTGGACCTGATGGACTATGTGCATACTTCTTAAAAAAGCTTTCCACTGCTACAGCAGAACCCCTAAGCATAATCTTTCAGGACCAGCTCCCTACCCAACCTATGGTCACTAACCACGGTCATCCCTATCTTCAAAAAGGGAGACCCCAGCCTAGTTGAAAATTATAGACCAATCTCTTTATGCTGTGTTACCTGCAAAGTCATGGAATCAATCATCAACCAATCCATTACCCTCCACCTAGAAACAGACAACCTACTCTCTAATAAACAATCTGGTTTCAGAAAAAAATTATCCTGTAATCTACAACTTCTACCCTGCAAAAACATATGGACTACAAATCTTGATCAGGGCAAAGCAATAGATGCAATTTACATAGACTTCTGTAAAGCCTTTGATTCAGTGGTACATGACAAACTACTTCTAAAACTAAAATCCTATGGCATCTCTGGACTCCTCCATAATTGGATATGCGTTCCTGTCAAACAGACAACAAGTGGTTAAAATAGGGAGCGCCCTATCAAATCCCGTACCTGTTAATAGTGGTGTCCCCCAAGGCAGCGTTCTAGGACCAACACTCTTCATACTATACATATATGACCTTGGTGATCATATTATAAGTAACTGGGTTCTCTTTGCCGATAATGTTAAACTATTTAACACCACCAGCAATGCTGCTACCTTTCAAAAAGGTAGTAGCATTGCTACCTTTTGTGTTTCTGGCTTTGTGTTGGAATGGTAAAAAAATTGGCAACTCCAAATCTCAACCAACAAATGCTTTGTCTTGCACATTGGCAAAAAGAATCAGAACATAAAATACAAGCTGAGTGGACACGACCTTGTAGATGACCCTCACTCTGTCAAGGACCTTGGAGTACTCATATCAAATGATCTAAGTGCCAAAGCCCACTGTAACAACATTGCCAAAAAGACATTAAGGGTTGTAAACTTAATCTTGCATAGCTTCTTCTCTGGCAATATTACACTATTAACCAGAGCATACAAAACATTTGCTAGACCAATTCTCGACTACAGCTCATCTGTCTGGAAACCGCACTGCATATTGGACATTAATACAACTGAATGTGTCCAGAAATATTTCACAAGAAGTGTCCTCCACTCCTCCACTCGCAACAAAATACCTTATGGCACCAGACTTGAAATTTTGGGCTTAGAAAATTTAGAACTACACCGCCTTCCATATGACCTAAGCATAGCTGATAAAATCATCTGCTACAATGTCCTACCTGTCAACAACTACTTCAGCTTCAACCACAATACACAAGCACACAATAGATACAAACTTAAAGTGAACCACTCCAAACTCGATTGCAGAAAATATGACTTCAGCAACAGAGTGGTCAATGTCTGGAATGCACTACTTGACTGTGGTTTCATCCCCAAACCCCCCAAATTTTAACCTTAGACTGGCTACTGTTGACCTTACCCCTTTCCTAAGAGGTCTGTAAGGGCCGTGCATAAGAGCACAAGCGTGCCTACCGTCCCTGTCCTAATGTTCCCTTTAATTGTATTTATTTTATGTTATACGTATATATATTATCTAATACGTACTTGACACAATAAAGTAAATAAATAAATAAACCTAGACCATTAATTCTTTCTCTGAGTGAATAAATGAGGGTATCTGTATCACTGGCTGTGTCAGATGTTGGTGGATAAAGGCTTTTGAAGAACTAGCACAGGAGGAATGATTAAGAGACTGTGCCAGTTTTCATGAGGACTGCAAACAGTTTTAATGCAGTCAATCCCCCGAAAGCAGCATCATTGTATCATTTTCATTTCCAAGGAAAAATAAAAAGCAGAATGATCCTAAATTGTTATATGCTACAACAATTAATTCAGCCAAGTTCTTCGTTTTTTTGATAGTTGACCACCATCTATTTATTTCAATGTATGAGATAAAGCTATCATTAAATTTTAACAATCGCTTTTAAAGGAGGAATACAGATTGAGTTTCACACTTCCATATAAGGTTACCAGATACTGACAAGAACTGAGTTACTGCAAAGAGAATTTTTTTTTTTCTGGTCTGTCTCTTACTAATCTTATGTGCTGGATTGCAAAATAATGACACTGCCAACAAACAACTTAACAGAGCAATGTGATGGCACAGTTTTTATGTTTCAAAAAAAACCCCTTGTGCTAGTTTGTAAAGCCTAAATCTTAGCAAAGGCTTAGCTGCAAAAATAAGTTCGAACTTGCACACTACACAAATTTCTAGTATTACTTCATAAATGTTGGTCTTGTAAGAGCCAGTAATTATTTTATCATACATTTCTTTCATTACATAATCTGGAAATTTGCCAAGAATATACAAATAAAACATACATAAAGGAGTTTATGCCTTTTACTGTTAATTCAATTTTATAATAATTGATGTATAATTCCTTCCTCTTGCCCCATAGCAATATTCTATATGTAGTCAAACACTTTTCCTTTAGGAAATTACAATTATTTCATATTACTGTTTTCATGTTGCCTTTGTCAAGTTAAATAACATCTTTTTTTTAATCAACCACATGCAGTTTAACTGAGCTGAAGTAAATTTGGGGGGGGAGTGAAAAGATTATCAATATAAATGCAGAATCATATAAATGTCAGAATCTCGAAATTTTGAAGTTCACGTTTAAGGCAGTTTCCTTCTGCCTATATTACCCTCAGATATATTTTACTACCAGACTTAATGGAAAGGATCCTTTTGTTCACTGATACATAGTAAAAGCATCAACGTATACACACATGCACACATACATTTATGTTCCATTTTATACCTAGGAATTTAACAATAATGACAAAGACAACATAATTTCAAATATAACAGTATTGAAACGTTTCTCCTCTTTTTAAATTCCTAAAGAAGACCCCAAAGTCCCTTAGAATTCAGAACACAAAAAACATGTTCTTTCATGAATGCATATTTACAAGAAATAAGTTTTGTACTGGTTATTCACAAACAGAACCTGGAAGGAAAATGCAACAAGAAGCAAAAATGCTGTTCACTCGATCAGTGTTTCTCACTGCAAAGTTGGCTGGGGAATTCTGGGAACTGAAGTCCACATGATTTAAAGTTGCCAAAGTTGAGAAACACTGCACTAGATCACTACTGTACCAAAACATTATGTTGCAATATAACCCCAGGCTTCTAATAAAATAAAGCAATTACAGGAAAAAAGTTAAATTAAGCACAGTGGGGTTGCTTAACATGCATTTCAAATATAATGATGTTCGGTTACACATTCTGAGATGCATATCCTATATAAAATTGCAATATCTTGTGATCTCACAACATCCCTATGGCAAGGTGTAGCACAACCTGTAATTTCAACAGCTTTTTCCAAGCGTTCAGTACAATGCAGTTCAGAGTTGTGGGACCTATACTGGCATCCTGATGCTTGGCAGAGAGAGAAAAGGTGGCAGCGAATAATGGCACATTGAGGCAAAACAGCTATTAGAATGGGTGGCTCTGTTTACCCTCCACTCTAGCTCCATTAAGTCCAACAAAATGTCACCTCAAAAAGATTGCTAGAATTTATAAAACCCACTTATCTAAAAAAACATCAAGATTATACATACATAGAGGAGAGTTTGCTACTCTTTGGGACTGCCACCAACAAACGTATTAGTGAAAACATGTATAGCTCTGGCATGCTTCTTTATTGGTTGTGCTGGCTTTGGGCTCTTGGCATTAATATTTCAGGAAAGCATCATTTCTAAGTCCTGTTCTCAGCCAATGAGATCATGGATTGAAATCTGGAAAATACTAAACTTGTTTGCTTTTGCTACATGGGTTACAAGTCATGGCTGATGGCATGTCAAGTCTGTTATAGATTAAAACAGGAGCACTGCATTGTTTACATGTTTATTATTAAGAAAAATAGCCTTTAGGTTATTAGTTCCAACCAACAGAACTGAGAATCTACATGCTGGGAAAGCTCCAAAGATCATCCATAAAGATCTAATTGACCTTCCAGTTCACTGAACATTTAAGAAAAACCTGAAAGCATATAGACTAGAATTCAACATTCTCATCATTCATGGTGTCTATACTATATAACAATTTTGATATGAGTTGAAAAACTCCATTTATTCAACACTTGTGTGAATTGGTCACATTTTAAGGAAATTAGAAAAGCCCAAAGAGCATATTTTTCTGAATCTCTATGAAAGATTCCTTTGATGTTTTGTGTGAATTGTCCAAAGTGTTCCCCCCCCCCACTCACCTTTAGGTTTGGATTTCCAGACACTCTGCATATAAAAGTGACCGGCATTCCTTCAAATATTTTGTAGTGTTTAAGTTTTGTCTCAAAATATGGGGTCAGGCTGCTATCAGGAACATCTTTCCCATGCTCCACTTCATCATCAGACTCTTCTACTGGAGTTCTTTCCAATCTAAATTCAATCTCACTGATCAGTCTCTGCTCAAAACTGGAGACTTTATATTCCTATAAATAATAGAAAACTCAAATTAGTTAGGTCATTAAGGTCACTTTATCAGGCAGGTTATTTGATGAGATTATAATTATTTTAATTTTCCAGATTTTAATTAAAAATGTAGATGTACAGGTCTGCACATTTTAAATAGTATTGTATGAAACAAAACATAAATGAATACATTAGTTGAGCAATGAGCATACGTAATAGGATATATGGATTAGATTATAATGTAGAATGCAAAACGATCCATTTGATCATTTTAAATATTGAACGTATTTTGAATGGAACTGTATTTCCTAAAAATCTGGAGCTGTTTACTACATAGTAAAGAATAGCTTTAAATCTTAGTATTAGTGAATTATGCAAAGAAAAGGAAGCAAAGGTTAAATTCTGGAAACAGCATTCCAAAAGAGGAAGTAGCAAGAGGTCAACAGACAGGAAACCAAGAAAAAAGGAAAGTAGAACCTTTTGCACAGCCTCATGAGTCACTATAGAAGCATCAACAGAACCAGTTCCCTGTAAAAGCAGAAAAAAAATATGGACACTAAAAGAACTGTAGGAGAACTGAAGGAGAATAATCTCAGACAAATTGTTTCTCGGGATTGATTATAAACGATGATGACCAGTCATTTCATTAAAGTGTAGAAATTTCTTGTTCTTCTGCACTAAAAAAAGTGGTCTCAATATGCAAACTATATTTGATGTTAAAATAAAATGGAATAAAAAAGCAGGATAGAAGACATGAGAATTGAAAGAAATCTTAAAATTATTATTTCATGTGATCAGCTAAGGAAGAAGCACTATATCCTGCATTACAATTGCCTACAAGAGTTTGAACAAAATCATTTTGATTTTATAGGATTCTGTTCTCTGTTCAAGCCAATTCAGATTTCATCTTTTTCTAGTTATAAAAATAATCAAATATTTGGCTATGCAGTTATAAATGCTTTGGCCTGCAACAATTCTGCCAGCAAACTATCTGGCTTTCCCATAAAACCTTTAATTTCTGCTTCAAATTAACCTTCATCCACATTTCCTCCATTGCTTCATATTTTATGGCTGTTTACATCAATCTATTATACAACTAAAACACTGTCTTTTTTTAAAAAAAAATGCCTCAGAGCAAGCGTGGAATCTTTCAGTGCACTTTGCAAACCTGAATCCAGCACAATGAATGTTGATTGTCTACCCATAAAGCAGGTCATTAGTAACAGAAGAAGGACAATTCACATCTAATAAAAATGGTATCCCTTGTTCATTCCCTAGTCTCTGACATATAGGCAGTTCATTTTCAGGCTAATGGTAAAAAGGAGAATCTGCAGAGGTAAAAAGCATCATACAGTACTAAAAACATGATGATTACTAGCAATTCTTTATTTGAAAAGTCTTACATTAATATACCATTTAGGCTGTCGTGATAAACACACAGGGCAATGTAATGTAGCATTTTAATCAAATTTATGGTTTAATGTTGACTATTTTGTGACTTGGTACAGCTACAAGTGTAGCTACCATGTTTCATTAAATATGTTTTCCAAATTCAGGATGCACTCTTTATTTGATCAGAACAAGATGCAGAACATAGGCACAAGCAAATATAAAAGAAGACACAACTATGTTCTTAGGATAGTTTTCAGCAAAAAGAGATTGTTCCTGCATTTGGGCAACATATTTCAGTCTATACAAACTCAGTTTGGGTGGGTCACTAATACATCACTTACTGAAGAGCTATTGGGCATTCAACATTTAGCTATAAGTGTAACCAGGCTAATGTTTCCCTCTCTAAGGCTGGAGTCTTATTAAAAAGCAGAATCAAAATAAACATGTCTAACAAAGCCTATCCCACACACACACAAAAATTGTATGTAGATTTGATATCATGATACTGTGAAATTTACCTATAACTAGTACATTGAATAACTGATCAAAAGATTAAATCCTGAAGACTGAATACATTTTAGACTGAATCCAAAATTTCTTGCAATTTAACTCCATATACAGTTGCAAGAAAAAGTATGTGAACCCCTTGGGATTATGTGGAGTTTTGCATGAATTGGTCATAAAATGTGCTCTGAACTTCATCTAAGTCACAACAATAGAAAAAACACAGTCTGCTTAAAATAATACTACACAAACATTAGATGTTGCCATGGTGTAATTGAACATAACATGTAAACATTCACAGTGCAGGGAGGAAAAAGTATGTGAGCCCCTAGCCTAATGACTTCTCCAAGAGCTAATTGGAGCCAGGAGCGAGCCAACCTTGACTCCAATCAGTGTGATGATATTGGATGTGTTGCTGACAGCTGTCCTGCCCTTTAAAAACACACACCTGTTTTGGGTTTACTGGTTTCAAGAAGCACTGTCTGATGTGAACCATGCCTCGCAGAAAAGAGCTCTCAGAAGACCTACGATCAAGAATTGTTGACTTGCATGAAGCTGGAAAGGGTTACAAAAGTATCTCCACAAGCCTTGATGTTCATGTGTCCACGGTAAGACAGACTGTCTACAAATGGAGAAAGTTTAGCACTGTCGTTACTCTCCCTAGGCATGATCGTCCTGTAAAAATGACTGCAAGAGCACAGCGCAGAATGCTTCATGAGGTAAAGAAGAATCCTAGAGTGTCAGCTAAAGACCTACAGAAATCTCTGGCACATGTTAACATTTTTGTTGACACATCTATAATAAGGAAAACATTAAACAAGAATGGAGTACATGGGAGGACACCACGGAGGAAGCTGTCCAAAAAAAATATTGCAGCATGTTTGAAGTTTGCAAAAGAGCACCTGGATGTTCCACAGCACTACTAGCAAAATATACTGTGGACAGATGAAACCAAAATTGAGTTGTTTGGGAAGAACACACAACATTATGTGTGGAGAAAAAAAGGCATAGCACACCAACATCATAACCTCATCCCCACTGTAAAACATGGCGGAGGGAGCATCATGGTTTGGGGCTGCTTTGCTGCCTCAGGGCCTGGACGGATTGTTGTCATTAATGGGAAAATGAATTCCAAAGTTTATCAAGACATTTTGCAGGAAAACGTACGACCATCTGTCCGCCAACTGAAGCTCCGCAGAGGATGGGTGATGCAACAGGACAATGACCCAAAGCATACAAGTAATTCAACAAAAAAATGGCTTCAACAGTACAGAATACGCCTTCTGGAGTGGCCCAGTCAGAGTCCTGACCTCAACCCGACTGAAATGCTGTGGGATGACCTTAAGAGAGTGATTCACACCAGACATTCCAAGAATATTGCTACACTGAAACAGTTTTGTGAAGAGGAGTGGTCCAAAATTACTCCAGATCGTTGTGCAGGTCTGATCTGCAACTACAGGAAACTGTGAATGTTTACATGTTATGTTCAATTAAACCATGGCAACATCTAATGTTTGTGTAGTATTATTTTAAGCAGACAGTTTTTTTCTGTTGTTGTGACTTAGATGAAATTCAGAGCACATTTTATGACCAATTCATGCAAAACTCCATGTAATCCCAAGGGGTTCACATACTTTTTCTTGCAACTGTAGATACACAGGCTTGGTGGAAAAGAAATATGAAGCTGGCCTATAAATATGCAATGTACAATAGTATGAATCTCTTTATGAAAACAAACTTTGGCCTGCATAATTAAGCAATAATGTAAAGAGTATGTTAATTGATGTGTGAACCTAGCCATTATGGTTTAGGGTTAAGCTAACCCTAGATTAGCTTGTTTGGATCATTGTTTAAGAATACCAGATTACATGCTGGTCAATGACCGTAAAAAAAGCTTCTCAACCTACCTGGATTAAAAATTAAGTCTAAAAGCAAGCAATGTTGTCATCGCTTCTCAAAAAAAAAGAACAACCCAACCTATTTTAACAAGAAAATTGCTATTTTATTAATTGCAGTACAATTAATTCTGCTAAATTGCAGTACCTGCTCTGCAAGTTCCTCTTCTGGTTCTTGAATATTGAAGACTGTTGCAGCATTGTCAGCCCCTAGCAATCGACGAGCCATCTTTTCCTCATATGTTAACTTCTAAATCAGAAGAATGAGACATTTGCATCACCTACCAATAAATACATGAATAATGTTCTCCATATTTCAACACATAATTCAGCATAACTAATACATTTCTGTCAGAGGTAGACAAAATTTTATTAGTCATAAGTCAGTCAACATTTTTGTAGGTTGCCAAAAAGTCACAATGATGATATAAAGTGGGAGGGGTAAAATCATAAATGGCATGGGACTTCTAATACAGTTTTTTGTGAATTTCATGAGTTTTGTGAGCTTAAAATAGCTGGAAATAGTGTCATCAATTTTTACCAGTTACAGTAGAGAGAGATCTGGGGACAAAAAGATGATTCTAGAGACACCAGTTTTAAAATAATGTTTTTTGGAAATACTAGCTTTCTTTCTGGAATAAAGATAGGAGGTAGAGTTTATTCTTACAGCCAAGAGCAAATAGGAAAACCCATTTACATCAAATCAGCGCACATTCAATGACTCCCAAGCTAACTGTACAACTAAAACCCATGTTGGCAATTCACTGAATCCACAAGGCTCTTTTGCTAGAGAAGAGGTCTCCATCTGAGGAATGAAACCTCTGGATCAAACTTGTTCTAAGCTTAGACAAAGAAGCTGATTCGTTACAACCTTCCTTAACCTGGCCATATCCAGATTTGCCTTTGGCCATATTGGCTGGAAATTCAACACATCTAGAGGATTACAAGTTGAGGCAGGCTGTATTGCAGGCTTTGTCTATGCTGGTTTAGAATCATGACAGTTGTAATCTGCAGATCTGAACAACGCATATTGTTCCAGATCCTGCAATGAAGTCTCATTTGTTGGTTTATATTTGCTTTATATATTTATATTTTACACATATATTGAAGAGATTTGTATTCTGCCTCCTTACTACAAAGTAAAGAGCCGTGGTGGCATAGTGATTAGAATGCAGGCTAATTCTGCTGACTGTCAACTGCCAGCAATTCGGCAGTTTGAGCCTCATTGGCTCAAAGTTGACTCAGCCTTCCATCCTTCCAAGGTCGGTAGAATGAGGACCCAGATTGTTGGTGCAATATGCTGACTCTGTAAACTGCTTAGAGAGGGCTGTAAAGCACTGTGAAGGGGTATATAAGTCTTATTGCTATTGCTATTGTTCAAGATAAAAATACAAAACTCTAGTATAATAATTCTATATTGCTTTATATAGTATTTGCAGTAATACATGTATACCATAAAAACAATTCCCTTGCTTAGTGACTTTTACTGACAAAGTCTAAATTTTGCAAAAGCATTGACACCAAAAGAGGAATGCAGGACAGGAAGGAGCATACGGTAAGTCTTATTTCCCCTTTATAGAACTTTGAAACTATAATATATAAAGTAAAACAAGTATGAGTATTTCAGATGAATTTTTCAGGTGACCAATTAACTACTGTCAAAATTTACAGCTATAATTTAGAACATGAAATTCTAATTGCTGGCACTGACCCTAGAAACTCACTCAACGGTACTTACCTGTGAACCATACAAGGATACCAGCTATCTCCTGGCTATATAATTTACTGTTTTTTCCCCCTTATACAACAGACATGCCTGATTCCTGTAGCCTCCATAGGTGTTAAACATATTTATTGTCTTTTTGTTGAAAGCCCATGTAGTAATCTTTCACTTTTAAGAAAGTAGGAATGGACCTGAGAACTAAGTGTTCCTGGTACTCATTTATATTTTTCCCACTTTATCCTGCTAAATAGCAAAAGTAAATTTCCTTATTAGTCTATATCTTTACGCTGAAAAGTAATAATGTATAATTATTATAATTATAATATATTATAATTATATTATTATTTATTTTATTAATAATTATATTATATTATAATGTAATTATAATATTATGTATATTATAATATATTATAATAATTATATTATATAATAATTATAATAATGTATAATGTATAATTATAATTATAATGTATAAAATATAATGTATAAAAATAATTATAATGTAAAAAAAAGTAATAATAATAATAAAATAATAATAATAATAAATTGATTAAATAAAAAATGATAAATATAATGTAAGTATTCTGTGGTAATATAAAAAGATATATCAGATCCATACCGTATTCATAAATAGACCAATCAGAGGCAACATTTACAGGATCTAGTAATTATAAGTTGAAAGGAAAGATTCCATCACATAAGTTTATTTGTTTAAATTTATTTATTTGTTTAAATTTCTATACCGCCCTTCTCCAATATAGGACTCAGGGCGGTGAACAGCCAAAGTAAAAACAAGACATACAAAATCTAAAAACTGTTTAAAATAATTAAATATTCTGGCCGTAATTAAAAAATTCCAATTTAAAATCAGTTTAAAATTTAACTCAAGCCAGCCCAGCTAGCTGAAATAAATGGGTTTTCAGGGCCCGACGAAAAATCCAGAGGTCTGTTATTGTACGTATCTCTGGGGGGAGGTTGTTCCAGAGGGTGGGCGCCGCCACAGAGAAGGCTCTCCCCCTGGGGGTCGCCAGCCGACATTGTCTGGCGGACGGCACCCTGAGGAGGCCCACTCTATGTGAGCATACTGGCCGGTGGGAGGCTATTGGTGGCAGAAGGCAGTCTCGTAAATACCCTGGCCCTGAGCCATGGAGCGCTTTAAAGGTGGTCACCAACACCTTGAAGCGCACCCGGAAGACCACTGGGAGCCAGTGCAGCTCACGCAGGAGAGGTGTCACATGGGAGCGCCTCGTCGCCCCCATAATCCCCCGCGCGGCCGCGTTCTGGACCAGCTGGAGCCTCCGGGTGCACCCCAGGGGGAGCCCCATGTAGAGAGCGTTGCAGTAGTCCAGGCGGGAAGTGACGAGTGCCTGAGTGACTGTGCGTAGGGAGTCCCGATCTAGAAAGGGGCGCAACTGGCGTATCAGGCGAACCTGATAAAAAGCCCCCCCTGGCCACGGCCGTCAGATGATCTTCTAAAGACAGCCGTGCATCCAGGAGGACGCCCAAGTTACGAGCCCTCTCCGTGGGGGCGAGTGATTCACCCCCAATAGCCAGCGATGGCATCAGCTGGCTATATCGGGACGCCGGAAGCCACAGCCACTCGGTCTTGGAGGGGTTGAGTCGGAGCCTGTTTCTCCCCATCCAGGCCCGCACGGCCTCCAGGCACTGGGACATCACTTCAAGGGCATCATTGGAGTGGCCTGGGGTGGAGGAACTTCCAATTAGTGGAGGAAACTTCCGAGTGCAAAATAAGGATTGGGGCCCCATATATCTTCTACACTGAATCTCGGAGCATGATGGAAAACCACAATAGAGAATATTTCAGTTTGGATCTTGCAACTCAGTTCTGTATCTGAAAATCTGTCTCCTACTACTATGCAAGATTAGCTATAATATTTATTTATTTATTTATTTATTTATTTATTTATTTATTTATTTATTAGTTAGATTTATATGCCGCCCTTCTCCAGAGACTCAGGGCGGCTTACAATGCTTTTAAGCAATAGCCTTCATACTTTTGTATATACCTGCTTAGTAGGGCTTTCGGCCTCCCCTAAGTGGTGTTCTATTTTATACAAAGTCAGCTTATTGCCCCCACAAACCAGGTCCTCATTTTACCTACCTTGGAAGGATGGAAGGCTGAGTCAACCTTGAGCCTGGTGAGAATTGAACTCGCAGTAATTGCAGGCAGCTGGCAGCTAAATACTACTTTAACAGTAGTTTAGTCCACTGCACCACCAGGCTCTTAAAAGAATACAGTATCATATAAAATTGAAATCCAAATGAATGCAAAGTTAAATTCTCTCCAAATGTACATAAAGTAAGAAAACTATTTAGAGTATTACAGCAAGCTACATACTGGTTGGCCATTGTTCAAGAGATCTTCCTTGAAACGAAGTTTTCTTTCCAGGTCCTGGATAACAGCATCTTTTGTGCCCTGAATTTCTTCATCAGATGCAATTCTGGCAGTTCTGCCTGATTTCTTTGGAAATCCCCTGTAAATAAATCACTAATAGTTTACAAATAGACAGGTCTGTACAGAGAAATTCTAAGTTTAATGAGTGCTAACGTTTTATTTTAATGAGTATTATATTTTGGCTGCTTAAGACTAAGCTAGTCAAACTAATGCAATCAAGGTCAGAATTGAAAAAAAAAGTGAGATTCTATAAAGAATCAGAAGAAACAGTAGATCATATTACCTTGTGTACACACAAACTGATTATAAACAATGAAATATACTGTATATATAATAATAAAATTGAAATCAGTTTTAGTTTTAAGGTGAACATTTCTAATTCTTTACTCCTATCCTGTAGTCATTTGAATTTTTGCAGCTGAAATCTGCTAGTTGTAATTTTGCTTGCAAGGTTTTTAATTATCTGAATTTGACTAGGTAATAGCTAAAATGAAAATAGACATAACTTAAAAGGGAAAGGGTAATTATGAAATCTTGAAATCCGGCAAAATTATAGGCTGATAATAAACATTTTGTGTTTGGAGGTAGTCTTTAAAAAAGCATATTGTATTTTCTAATGAGGTATATCCAGATTCACTGAGCGGGTTAACTGTGGAACAAAAAATCAGAACTTCAATGCAAACTAAATTATTAGCTAATTATTAGCTTGAAGGAAAGAAAAAAATCCAGAAGTAATTAAGAATATCCTGGCTATAAGAAGAATAACCTGAAACAGAAGAAATAATCCAAATCCTATCTCTTTTAAAAAGTACTCAAAGCAATTGATTACTAGTGCTTTTAAATCACTCAAATTCTGTGCAGACTGTTTCTGGATTTTTAAAAAGGTATGGGAGCCTTCCTGGAGAAAAGTTGCCCACTTGCCTGTCTGGATAGCTTGTCACAGACAGGGCCGGATTTAGATGAAAAGAGGCCCTAGGCTATTCCACTTATGAGACCCTTTCACCAGTGGTGGGATTCAATTTTTTTAACAACAGGTTCTGTGGGCGTGGCTTAGTTGGGGGTGTGGCTTGGCAATCATGTGACGGTGGGCATGGCTAGCTGGTCACGTGACTGTGTAGGCGTGGGTAGCTTGTCATGTGACCGGGTGGGCGTGGCTATGTGCATAGACTTTTTTCAGAGGGCTGAAAAAAGTCATTTCTGACTGGGCCTCGCACTTTTGACCGGTCCTCACACTTATGACCATCCTCACATTTATGCCCGTGCAGCTTTCTTAACAACCATGTCACTGATTTCACAACTGCTTCTCTTCACCATGGTGACAAGATAGGGCAAAAACGTAAAATGTGAGGACAGTCGTAAGTTCAAGGACTGGTCAAAAGTGCGAGGACCAGTCAGAAATAACTTTTTCAGCCCTCTGAGTAGTCCATATGCATAAAAGGATACAGCAATAGAGAGGGATGAAGGAAGGGAAGGGAAATTAGAGTAGGAGGGAGGGTAAGAGAGGGAGGAAGAGAGGAGGAGAAGGAGAAAGGAAGAGGAAGTAGGGAGGAGAAGAAGAGGGGGAGGAAGAGAAAGTAAGAAGGAAAGAAAAGAGAGAGGTGGTAGGTTTGAGGAGAAAGATTGCTGTACAATAAAAAAGATGAAAGGGAAGAAAGCCAACCCCAAACAAATATAAAGATATTAAGATAAAGAATGAATTGTTAAACTTTAAAGAATAAAAGAGAACAAATATGAATAAATAACAATAATTAGAAACACACATACAAACATACAATGTAATTTTTTTGAACAGAGTATTTGGCCGGTTCACGAATTTAAACAGTGTTTAGTCATTTCAATTAAATTTACAATTTCTATATTTCCTTTTTGCCATATTTATTCCTCATCTATTTTTGTAAAAAACCAATATTACCCTTCATCCTCATCTCTAATCTTAATCAAATTCAATTTTTCCCTTCTATTCTATATTATACCCCTTCCCATTGTCATCTATTTTTATATCCATCCTCACATTGGTTAATTATGTAATATTAGTTGTTTAATATAAATTCAACATTTTAATATAAATCAATTAGTTATATAACTACCTTTTTTGTATATTAATCAATATGAACATGAATATTCCAATTATTTCCATGCAATCCAATTTCTTACAAATCCATTAATTATATTTACCAATAATAATAAACCAAATAATTCCCCCCATATATTCCTCCAAACCACAACTTAACCATTTCTGCTTTCAGAAATATACAATTAATAGTATCTCAATTATTACAATTCCCTAGTTAAATAGAGCTTTTTTTCTTTTGTGTTTTAAAATCTCCTCTTTTTCCCTAAATTTCCCGTTGTTTGCACCTACCTTTTTTGATGAGGAAAAAGAAAAGAAATCTGCCTGCCTAATTTTCCAACTTGCAAAGCCAACAGCCTGCTTTACTTTCTCTTTCGTTTTTCAGTATAGCTAGGGGAAAAAAAATCTGCACTCTTTCCAAGCAAGCAAAAGAGCACTGAGCAAAACAGCTGAGAGCAAATCAGCTGTGGGTCGGGAGCCGATCTAAGCAAGGGCTAATTAGCCTCTGCTGAAGCTCCCGGGGCCAATAAAATTACAAAAAAAACACCGAACCATTTGTTAAATTGCTGGCTCCCCCGCCCCTCGCCCACCACTATTTATTGGCAATCAATAGTGGTGCGGAGGGGCGGGGCAAGCCAGCAATTTAACAAAGGGTTCGGCTGCACCACTGGCTCTAGGGCGGTCCTTTGAAGCCCCGCGGCAAGAATTTGAAGTTTTTTTTCCTCTAGCCATCGGAGGCAGCAATAGATTGGGAGTGGGCGTGGTAAGCGAACAGCAGGCGATCCAACAGAGCAGAGAGTGAGGGTGAGTGAAGGCGTGGAAGCTGCTTTCTCCATCCTGCTCTCTTGCGTCCGGAGCCGGTGGGGAACCACGTGGCAGCCCACGTGGATCCCAGGCAGTGGAACTCAGGCTAGGGAAGGGATGGGCAATTGTGGCTCTTTTACAACCTGTGGCCTTCAACTCCCAGAATTCCTAAGACAGCCAAGCTGTCTCAGGAATTCTGGAAGTTGAAGTCCACAGGTTGTAAAAGAGCCACAATTGCCCACCCCTGGCTACGGTAGGCTGGCGCCGCGCGGGTGGGAGGCGAGGGGCGGGCGAGCCAGCAATTTAACAAAGGGCTCGGCTGAACCCCCTAGAACCCCCAGAATCCCACCACTGTGTAGGCCCCTCTTGATCTTGAGGCCCTAGGCTGAAGCCTAGTTAGCCTATAGGAAAATCCGGCCCTGGTCACAGACCTACTACAGCCTGTCAAGTCTGCCCCCTACCCAGACAATGCAGTTGTGTGCCAAGGCCTGAGTGCTCATCAACTGTGCAACTCTGGCAAAGTGGGTATGTTCCAGGTTCCTTTCATTAAATGTTGTCATCTTATGGAACTGAGGGGTTATGTCTTCTCTACTGTAGCTTCTGCCCTCTGGAACAGCATCCACCACCCATCCCCACCACAAGAGATACAGAAAACAGCCTCTCTCTTGGGGTTCCAAAAAGGATTTAAGGCTTTGGTCCCAAGGCTTGGGGTTGATGGGTTTGTCGGACCTGTTTAGTTTGTTATTGTTATGATTATTTTAACCCAGACTGCCTGTGGGATTGTATGTTCTTAACTGCTTTTATTGTTTTATATTTGTATGGTAAGCCACCCAGAGTCTGTAGGAATCAGCATTATTGTTGTTGTTGTTGTTCTTGTTATTGTTATGACTTGGCAGCTGTTGAGTTTCAGTAGCAATTGCCTATATGATAACATTTCTCATCCCTCAGTGCATGCTCTCATATATTAGAAAAAAAGGGAGGAAAGGAACAATAACATCTTCAAGGCAGGATTTGGAATATATGGAAATCAATATTTGATTGTATTAATATTATATTCAAGAACCAGTCTTGTGTAGTGGTTAAGATGCTGGCCAAGAAACCAGGAAACTGTGAGTTCTAATCTCAGTTTCAGCATGAAAGCCAGCTGGGTGACCTCGAGCCAGGCACTCTTTCTCCGCTCAACCCACCTCACAAGATTGTTGTGCAGAAAAGAAGAAGAGGAAGAAATATTAGGTATGTTTGCAGCTTTGAGTTAGTTATATAGTAATAAATGCAGGATAAAAATCTAATAAATAAGTAAATAAATATTTAGAGAGATATGGAATAATTTAATGAAAGTTTATTTTCAGTATATTTTTTAAATTGTTGCAACTATCATCCCAAACTGTATCAAGTTAAACTCCATACTCCAACTTGATTTTACACTGATAATGTTGCCTTTCATATCTGTTTTTTTCCCCCTTGGTGGTAGATTTAGACATAATTTGAAAGTTACTATAAAAGTCACCTGTTTACTCAAAGGACAAATTGACTATAACAATTTATAACAATAATAGCTTATTATGAATGGATGGCAGAAGAGAGACATTTTTCTTGAAAAATTACCTCAATAAAATGAAATTACAGATAGTCCTCGACTTATAACAGTTCATTTAGTGACCGTTACAACAGCACTGAAAAAAGTGACTTATGACCATTTTTCACACTTACGACCGTTGCAGCATCCTCATGGTCATGTGATTTACATTCGGATGCTTCGTATACATCGTATAAACTAGAGGGTCATTCAAAATCTAAAACAATATGAATTAAAATGAAATAAAAATATAATTACGAAGAACCTGATTAAATTGTTTCAAACTAATTACTTTCCAGTTTGGAATGTTATTGTACAGGACTGCCAAATGGTAAAAAAACCCTTATATTGTATTGAAGTACAACAGCAGAATAGAAGTGGTGAAAAATGATGCATTTTTCAAAGCTTATACTTTGTAACGTGCTGTCTTCTTGATTAAATCATAGTCATATGACTATATCTCAAGACAAATGGAAAAAAACTTGGAAAATAATATAAGAATAAAATCTATTATAAGAACCTGTTCTTACAAAACGTAATATGGAAATGGACCATATAGTGAAAAACAGTTTTGTACAGTATGTTTAATAAAAATGGACTTTTAAAAGGAAATTTAAGGCATATAGAAGGAGACCCAGTTTGGTACAGTGATTAAAGCACTAGAAAACAGCAGATCATGAGTTCTAGTTCTGCCATAGACATAAAGCCTACTGGGTGATCTTGGGCCAGTAGCTTTCTCTCTCAACACTAGGAAGAAAGCAGTGACAAAGCACTTCTGAAATCTTTCCAAGAAAAGTTCAGAGACCAGGAGTTGCTAGAAGTAAACACTGACTTGCAGGTACACACACAGGTGCGCGTGCACACACACACAAACAAGAGCATATTAGGCATAAAAATATCTTGTTCAAAAATTGCATAAAATGTAATCCTTTTCTCATGCCCCCTTGCAGGAATCTTAGTAGTATGGAGAAGATCATAGAATTAATGGGACTAAACAGAGTTTTTTTAAAAAAAACTTTGAGGACTATCAAAGAGAAGAAACCTTTTGATCATGCTACAAGGGATCACTTTTCTTGCTCCCTTTTCATTAAAAAAAAAAGGAGCAGGAACCAAAAATTTAAACAAATGTCAAATAATTAAAATGAGGTAACCTAAGAACCAAAGTCGTCTTAAAATGAATAAATCATAAAATGTTAGTCAGTACTGACATGAGGATCTTTAAGGTGATAGACAGATTTAGGAATAAATTTAGCAGTAGAGAAATACAACAAACTAAAGCAAATGTTTCCATGTAGATCTATTCTGCCAAAGGATTTGCACTGAAAACAAGTTATATATGGTATAGTATTCCAGTTAGATTATCATAGAGGTAAAGACTTTTTGAAAAAGGGGGTTTCAAGCAATGAAGCTGAACTAATCATCATCAAAGAGCTCAGTTCACAATAACAAACGTTTCTGTCTCTTCAAATGAAACTTTCATATACCTGATGCACAAGATACAGAATATTAAATTATTAGAAATCTTGACTATTATATTTTGGATAATTGAGAATGAGATAAAATCAGACCTGTATAAGAAAAATATGAATTATCGGACTTCCGGTTTCCTTGTCTTCGGCGACGGCGGCGCTCTTTGAAGCTCCGCCAGCCCCGCCGCCTGTAGAGCCGCTTCGCGATCGAGAAGCGGCTCGAAAACTTCAAAATCCTGAGGATTGTTGGAGGAGAGATAGCAGGGCACAGGTCGAGCCCCTGTAACCCCCCAGGGAATCGTTTCTGGGGAGGAAACAGGCGCGGCTCCCTTCCAACCTGCTGAGACTCCGGGCGGCGTGGGACGATTCTGCTCCTGCAGAATCGTGGGGGAGGGCCCGTGGGGGAGGGCCTTCTCTGTGGCTGCCCCAGTTCTCTGGAACCAGTTACCTCCTGAGGTCCAGACCATCCCCACCCTATTGGCCTTCCGAAAAGCGGTGAAGACCTGGCTTTTTCGGCAGGCCTGGGGCCGTTGATCTCGCTTTGCGATCTGACGAGATCCAGCCATGAATGGTGTGAATGGGTTTTAATGTCTTTAATGTTTTTAATTTTTAAGTGTTTTTATAGTGATTTTTTGAGTGTATTGTGAGCCGCCCTGGGTCTTTGGAGAGGGCTGACATATAAATTGAATGAATGAATGAATGAAGGAAGGAAGGAAGGAAGGAAGGAAGGAAGGAAGGAAGGAAGGAAGGAAGAAAGAAAGAAAGAAAGAAAGAAAGAAAGAAAGAAAGAAAGAAAAAGGTAGAATTTTCCTAATGAAAAATTATGAAAAACATTTCCTACTCTTCTTCTGTAAAATATACAATTATTTAGGTTTTATACATACAATAAATTCATGCCTTTCAAAATTAAGAATAAATAAGAAAAACTATTTTTGAGAAGTTCACCAAATGTTCATACTTACGATGGTGTAACACTTTTGGGAAGTCCTAGTGCATTAACTGACATTGAAGGTGGCTGAGATGGTAGCATGGAGCTGAGAAAGGCTGATGGAGACTGACTAGAGCTGGACAATCTGGATGTTGGAGAAAAACTGTGGGAAGGTGAGGGGACAGAAGCTGGGAGAGGAGGTGGAGGTGGTGGCAGTGGAAAGGAATCTGCCACTGAAAAAGTAGATGAAGGACTAAAAACAGGGGGAGGGGGAGGAGGTGGGGAAGGAGACCATGGATACTCTTCCTCAGGAGCAAATGTCTGAGAAAAAGGAGGGGCAGATGTTTTACCAAACTGCTTCTGAGAAGCAGTTGGAGACATTGGGGATGGAAGACTAGATGTGGAAGAGCCAGATGGCTGTGTTACGTAGCTTGAAGCAGGGCTAATATTTTGTGCAGCAATAAATTGTTTAGGACGGGCATAGTTGAAAGAACTGGATGTCTGCATGGCAGGAGCAGAATGAGAATTGAGAACACTCATTTGCACAGGCGAAGGACAGTGGCTGGACTCAAGTTCTTGGAATGAAGATGGAGGGAGAAAAGTTGGGGACAAGGGAAGATTCTGGAGGGAACTAGCTTGCTTCTGATGACACCACTGGTCTGCTTCTTTTTCCAGCCGGATTTGGTTCTGTAACTGCTGAATTCTTAAAGGATCCCTATATTAATAAAAGAAAAAGACAGAGAGTACATTGAGAAAAAAAATTCTGACAGGAGGTTAAGGAATAGATATGCTATTTTTGTCTTACACAGATATTAAAAACATAATTTATCCAATACATAAGCATAATTAGTATACTGGAAGTAGAACATAGATTTGGGCTGCTTCTTCATAAGTTTTTCCACATTTGTCCCAGCAGACTCTGAAAAATTACATGTCAAAAGTAAATGTCAACCTATCCATAGAATGTACTATAGATATAATGTTTTATTTATTTTTTCTTTAAAGAAGTTTTATAACTGCCATTTAAACAAGGGATTGGATTTTGAATAAAACCATCAAAGATTGAAAAACAAGCATCAAGTAGTACTTTTCACAACAGTAATAGTGTTTTACTGATATACAATATCTTAAATGACTTTCCATATTAAAAATGAAATAAAATACTAAAAGGATGCTTCCATATACTTGAACATAATTAGGTTGCTTTAATGGTCGATTTAGTTTTAACAAACACAGAAATGTGGATTTTTTTTAAAAAAAGAAAACATGTGTCCCTTACTTTTGGTTTACTTCTTTGTGGCTGTTTAGATTAAGCAAATATTCTAAGGCTGCTTGGGTTTTTCTGATATTTGTTTCTATAATGAAATAACTTATTTATAATTTTAGTTTTTACTAAATGAGCATAGCCTATTTAAGTGTTTTCTATGCACAGTGGCCGCTAATAGAATGCTAAACTATAAATACTAGATCAACAAATCTTTTCTTGTATCTTCTCTGGTGCGTTGTTTAGAGAACAGAAGCTTTGACTTCTATTCATACTTTGCAGGTGTGGGCATTAAGTCCCAGTCCCAGCCACCCTCATCACTCTACACTCTAAGGCCCCTGCTTCCCTGTGCTCTGCCACCAGAGCTGACCTTTGCTGTCTTCTTGCTCTCACTGCTGAAGAGGCGGGCTTGCCCTGTCCTTTTGCTAGGAAGCTGCTGGACACATGAAAGCCATCTTCCGCAGGTCTTGTGAGCAGGTGTTGGGAAAAAGCGAAGGTGAAGTAGGGAGATCAAAAGGACATACAGATGAGAAAAAAGAGGGGGGGAATTGAAGTGACCATGTGATTGTAAGTGAGGGTGGGCTGCTACAGGCCCAAATTTTGTTCATGTGACTACTACAATGATTGTAACTTTGAAGACCGATTATAAGACTGTTCAGTGCCACGGTAACTTTGAACAGTCACTGAATGAATGGTCATAAGTTGGGGACTACCTTTATAGATCATGATGACTCTTCATTTTTATTTCCGTTTTACTTAGTTTCACAACTTTGTTTATTCAATCTGTGTTCATAATATAACAAACTCTTGAAATTAACCCAAAATCCTTCATGTGCTTTATGTGAATACAAATTTAATAGCAAGCAACTATTTTACCACTAGGTTTTTGCAAGTCAGCTTCGCAACTATGGTTTGATATCTGAGTTAATCAGCCTTCTAGAAAGTATAACTTAGATTTGAAATAAACTAAATTGGTGTTACAATTCTATTGCTGACTACCTCATGTCATTAAATGAGACACAAGTCAGCTTTAGGGTGAATGTCATGCTCAACCACAGTAAAAAAGAACATGCAAAGAAAATTAAAGAATTCAAAGCAGAGAACGTAATAGTGGGAATGCATCACCCAGAAACTGATGCCAGGATCTGGCCTATGAAGATTCCACTCAGATGATTTCTAGCATCTGGAGTGGGGAAAAGACCAAGAGATGGCAATCAAGTCATTCCAACATGTACACAACAAAAAATAATTGTTACCCCAACACAGCAGTCCAGCAAAAGAAGAAGAGAATCTTAACCCTGGGAAAGGAGCAAGGATTCAAACCAGAGGTGGGTTGCTGCCGGTTCGGACCGGTTCACCTGAACTGGTTGTTCCAATTCTGTGCGGTTTGGAGAAGCAGCAAATCGGACCACTGGCTGACCCTGCCCCTACCCATTTTTCGGGCTGTTTTCAAGCTGTTTTTCCTGCCAAAATCTGCCCGAAAATTGGCCTGAAAAATGCCCCCAAAACAGGCTTTTTTTCAGGCTGTTTTTCCAGCCAAAATCGGTCCAACAATGCCCAAAAAACATGACATTTCCGGCCATTTTTCCCAGCTGAAAACAGCCTGAAAATGGCCCGAAAAACACCCAGAAAATGGCCCAAAAATGTCCCAAAACAGGCCTTTGTTCAGACCGTTTTTCCAGCCAAAATTGGCCTGAAAAAAGGCCCAAAAAAGGCCTGAAATTGGTCTGAAAAATCAGCCTGGAAATTGACCCAAAAAACAGCCTGAAAATGGCCTGAAAAAGTTGGCTGTGAGAGGAAGAGAAGCTGGGTGAGTTGGACCCAGAGTGTTCTGGGTCCCCTTGTCCCAGAAGCAGCAACCTTGCACTCTTCCCCACTCTGCTAGCACCCTTCTTTGCATGAGATCGCCCAGCAGTGGAGAGGGAGAGGGAGAGGGAGAAGGGGGTGACGTTTCTGTGTGCTCCCGTTTCTGTGTGGCACTCTCCCCTCAATGCTAGCTGCCACCACTGCTCCCTTCTCCCTCTCCCTCTCTGCTGCTGGGCGATCCCGTGCAAAGAAGGGGGCTAGCACAGAGGGGACAGTGCGAGGTTGCTGCTTCTGGGATGAGGGGACCCGGGAAGCGTCTGGGTCAGGCTTACCTGGCTTCTCTTCCTCTCGCAGCCAGCTTTCCCAGTCTAGCTTGACGCAGTATCTCTCTCTCTCACACATACACACACACGCGTGCGCGCACGCACACACACACAAACAGATTAGATCTTTCTTTCCTCCTGCTTCCCCACCAGAGACCCTTGGATTTCCTCTCCAACCCTGCCTGTCCCATATAGACCACCCACACTAGTGATGTAGAGTTGGCCACGCCCACTGTCACATGACCCCACCCAGCCAGTTATTAGGGCAGAGAACTGGTTGTTAAAAAATTTGGAGCCCACCACTGATTCAAATAATTAAACAAAGGGAGTGTCTTATGGTTATGGTGAGTATAAATATGACAAATAAACAAATTGTCATAAAGAATGCTGTATGGAACTTGCTTTAGGACCATTCTGGTTATTTGCTCTCACCACATAACCCAGCTAAAATATTGAGAAATTGCTGCAACAGGCCACAAAAATTTACCATTTGACAGTTAAGAAGAGTCCCAAGAAGTTAACGGTTGCTAAAACCAAGAAACCTAGTGCTGCTAAATGAATTGTTGCCCATTACCATTAAACAAGCCCAACAAGGCTCATCAGTGGAAGAGAGGCCCACCACAAGATATTTAAATAAGGGCTTCCTCAAAGCCAGAGTTGGTCCTACTTAAAAAACAGCTTTTTGAAGAGGAAGGCAATTTTATGTGAAGTGGGCTTAATATAAAGAATTTGATCAGATTTCACAAGCTAAACTTTATTACTAGAGAGATCCATAAAGCAATATTAGACTAAATACTATAGTTGTGTTACTATGTTCCCTGTATTTTAAAAATAATAATTAAATGTCTGTTGGTCCCCCCAAAACAGAGCCTTTGATAATAAATTGTGTAAGGATCACAGATTAAAAGCAATATAGTAGAGTTATGTGGGGATCATTTAATTAACAAACTCTCCATAAAACCTCATGTACCCATATTATCATCCTTTCCAGGCCATATCTCTTGAAAACAATCTGAAGTGAAAGAAAACAATATATGAGTGGGGGATTTTTTGCTTATTCTAAATAATGACTATTACTATATAGATATATGGCCACAATCTAAAACCAAGTTAGGTAAGGTGACCAGACGTCCCGCTTTTGGCAGGACAGTCCCGATTTTTAACAATTTGTCCCGCGTCCCGCAGCGTTTTAAAAAAGTCCCGATTTTTGGAAAGAATGCACAACAAGCTAGGGAACGGCGGGAGAACGGGAAGGGAATATACGGTTTTCACTCACCCTCACCCTCTGCCTCTGTTGGATCGCTGGTCCCTGTTCGCTTACCCCGCCCATACCCAATCTATTGCTGAGTCCCAGCTGATGGCTAGAGGGAAAAAAATTGTTTAAATTCTTGCCGCGGGGCTTCAAAGGGCCGCCCTACAGCTGATCAGTGTTAAAAGAAAACAAATGAGTAGACTGGTGCCTGCAAAAATAGAAAAAACAGCCCCTTTCAGCTTCAGCATAGGTTAATTACCATAAGTTGATTTGATCAGCCTCCCGACTGTCAGCTGATTTGCTCTCAGCTGCTTTGCGGAGGGCTCTGTTGCTAGCTAGCTGCAAAGAGGTAAATTGCTGGAGCAAATGTTTTTTTCCCCTAGCTATGCTGAAAAAGCGAAACTGAAAGTAAAGCAGGGTCTTTGCTGCAACGTGACAAAATGAGGCAGAGAGAGATTTCTTTTTCTTTTTCCTCACCAAAAAAAGGTAGGTGCAAAACTGCAAACAATGGGAAATTTAGGGCCAAAAGAGGAAGTTCAAGATTTTAAAACACAAAAGAAAAAAAGCTCTATTTAATTAGGGAATTGTAATAATTGAGATACTATTAATTGTATATTGTGTTGAAAGCAGAAATGGTTAAGTTGTGGTTTGGAGTAATATATGGGGGAAATTATTTGGTTTATTATTAATGGTAAATATAATTAATTAATTTGTAAGAAATTGGATTGCATGGAAATAATTGGAATATTCATGTTCATATTGATTAATATACAAAAAAGATAGTTATATAACTAATTGATTTATATTAAAATGTTGAATTTGTATTAAACAACTGTATTACATAAATACATAATTAACCAATGTGAGGATGGATATAAAAATAGATGACAATGGGAAGGGGTATAATATAGAAGGGAAAAATTGAGTTTGATTAAGATTAGAGATGAGGATGAAGGGTAATATTGGTTTTTTTAAAAAATAGATGAGGAATAAATATGGCAAAAAGGAAATATAGAAATTTTAAATTTAATTGAAATGACTAAACACTGTTTAAATTTGTGAACCGGCCA